GAATAATAAAGATTTTTCTCGTTTTGTCTTTGTGTTTCTCTTGCGTGCTTCTCTGTATTTGTCAATTGGTTCCAGCTCGCAAAATAATCACTATTCTGTCCGGCGTCAGTATATTACTAATTCATCAAAATTAGATGTATATTTTCTTGCTTTATCATAAGTTTTTATCTCTCATAGAGGAAGTAACACCAAATGTAAGCATGAAATATACAATATGACATCAAAGTACAACCGCTATAGTGCTCAATTTCAAGAACTAGTATAGGACAGCCTAATTTCTTTTAGTATTTTCAAAGGAAAAAGGTAAAACTCTTTAATGTTAGGTGCATAATTACCTCTTTTATTGTGTGCTTCCCATAGAGTGACAGTAACTGCAACAACATGCAACATATGAGAAGAGGTGATTGTACATACAATATTCAATTTCAATGAACTAGTATTGTATATTACCATACGTTTCAGCATTTTTAATATGAAAAATGTACAACTAAACAATGTAAGATGCATATTTTCTTGTTTTATTGTAAGTTTTAATCTTCACGGAGGAAGTAATTGTAAACGTAAGCATGGAAGTATGATATGTCGTCAAAGTACAAATACTATAGTGCTCAAGTATTATAGGCAATCCTAATTGCTTTTAGAATTTCCAATGTGAAAAAATGTACAACTAATCAATGTTAAGTGCGCAATTTCTTGTTTTGCTGTACACTACCCATAGAATGAGAGTAACCTTAAATGCAACATGCAATGTATAACATAACGTAATAGTATATACATTACTTCTCAGTTTTAATAAACTAGTATTGTATATTATCATTTACTTTAGCATTTTTAATGTGAAAGAAGTACAACTCGTCAATGTTAAATCCATATTTTCGTGCTTTATCGTAAGTTTTTATCTATGCATATTTTTCTTTCTTTATCGTAAATTTTATCACTTATAAAGGAAACAAATACAAATATACGCATAGAATGTATGATATGACATCAAAGTACAATTGCTATAATGCTCAATTATTATGGACCAGCATAGGACAATCCTAATTTCTATTAGCACTTTCAATGTGAAAAAAGTGTAATTCATCAATGTTAGGTGTGCACTTTCTTTTTTATTGTACGTTACCAATAGAGTGAGTAACATTAAATACAAAATTTAATGTATGACATGACATGACGTAATAGTACATACATCACTTCTTAGTTTTAATGAACTAGTATTATATACTATCATTTCCTTTAGCATTTTTTAACATGAAAAAAAAAATACAACTCGTAAATGTTAAATGCATATTTTTTGCTTTATCGTAAATTTTTCTCCCTTATAAAGAAAGTAACTATAAATAAGCATGGAATATACGATATGACATCAAAGTACAATTTCTATAATGCTCAATTTTTAGGAACAAATATAGGACAAACATTTTCAATGTGAAAAAAAAAAAGTATAACTCATCAATGTTAGGTGTGCACTTTCTTGTTTATTAATTGTACATTACCGATAAAGTGAAAGTAACCTTAAATGCAGCATGCAATGTATGACATTACTTCTTAGTTTTGATGAACTAATATTGTATATTATCATTTGCTTAGCATTTTTTAAAGTGAAAAAAGTACAACTCATCAATGTTAAATGCATATTTTCTTTCTTTATCATAAATATATATAATCTATGATATGACATCAAAGTGCTCAACTTTTACGAACTAGTATAGGACAATCCTAATTTTTTTTTCTAGCATTTTCAATGTGAAAAAAGTATAACTCATCAATGTTAGGTGTACAGTTTCTTGTTTTTTTGTACACTACAAATAGAGTGAGAATAACATTAAATACAACATTTAATATGACATGACGTAATAGTACATACATCACTTCTCAGTTTTAATGAACTAGTATTATATACTATCATTTCCTTTAGCATTTTTTAACATTAAAAAAAAAAATACAACTCGTCAATGTTAAATGCGTATTTCTTGCTTTATCGTAAAGTTTTATCCCTTATAAAGAAAGTAACTATAAATAAGCATGGAATATATGATATGACATCGAAGTACAATTACTATAATGCTCAACTTTTAGGAACAAATATAGGACAAACATTTTCAATGTGAAAAAAAAAAAGTATAACTCATCAATGTTAAGTGTGCACTTTCTTGTTAATTATACATTACCGATAGAGTGAAAGTAACCTTAAATGCAGCATGCAATGTATGACATTACTTAGTTTTGATGAACTAATATTGTATATTATCATTTGCTTAGCATTTTTTAAAGTGAAAAAGTACAACTTGTCAATGTTAAATGCATATTTTCTTGCTTTATCGTAAATATATATAATCTATGATATGACATCAAAGTGCTCGACTTTTATGAACTAGTATAGGACAATCCTAATTTTTTTTAGCATTTTCAATGTGAAAAAAGTATAACTCATCAATGTTAGGTGTACAGTTTTTTTTTTCTTTTTTGTACACTACCAATAGATAACCTTAAATGCAACATTCAATGTATGACATGACATAATAGTACATACACTACTTCTCAGTTTTGATGAACTACTATTGTATATTATCATTTCCTTGAGCATTTTATAACATGAAAAAAAAGTATAATTCGTCAATGTTAAATGCGTTTTTCTTACTTTATCGTAAGTTTTTATCTCTGTGTATTTTCTTGCTTTATCGTAAATTTTTATCTCTCATAGAGGAAGTAACAATAAATATACAATCATGCTACATGTACATCTCCGTTTACATCCTAACTTACAAAATTTACACTTAACTTCATCTCACACCATCTTTTACAAAAAAATACTTTTCATCTAGCCGCTCATTTTCTTCCACATACACATCTGTAAGCCAGGGTGTGGCCATTTTCCATACAAATGGCTTTACTCAATACGAAAAATCACATTGTCTTCATTTCAGGAGTTCATCTAATCGTAAGTCGAGGTTGTTTGAACTGGTTCGCACGGATGGTTAGCACTATGTCATGGTGTTGATTACACTTGGGTGTGTATTTTGAAAGAGAAGAGTGAAGCATTATTCAAGTTTATTGAATTCAACAATATTGTACAAAGCAGTTTGGACAGAAAATAAGATGCTTGAGGAACGACAATATTGGTTGTTAATTCATGTTGTTGAGAAACAAACAAGATACCAGAATCGCTCTGATACCACTTGTTGTGTTAATTATGTCCAAAATATGTGATACCAATTGTTGAAAATTTAAGGATCACATGTCGCTCGATATCACTTGATATGAAACCAACCACTGGATTAAGATGTTAAAATTATATGGCACAATAATAAAATATTTGATTACAAGTAAAAAAATAAAATAAGACAAGAAAATAGGGCAGATGGATCAGGAGATTTTATTGCACTAATAATAATGGAGAAATATACAATTGATCTTAAAGTTCTAGTAATCTCTTTTCTTATATTATAAAATTGTATAGAAGAGCCTGATATTTATAGGGAATATGTATGGGACATCCAAATCCTCATAATAGAATTGTTGATGAAGTAGAATACCAAAAAATCGAGTTCAAAATGAAAAATAAGAGAAAAACGCTAAAAACTAGAACATGTACAGTTGGCACCACTGCGGCTCCCCAATATTTTTTTTGTTTCAAATTGTTTTCTTCATACCGAACTCTTCTTTAAGTCTAATACCAATTTTCAACTTCCAATGGATTTTCAAAATAGAACTTCAACTTGATATATGAACCAATAGTATTCCAAACTGAATTCTTCTTGACAAACACTTCAATTACTTCTACATGGAATTCAGGTCGCACTCAAATTCTAACAATCTCTATCTTGACACGAATTCTACTGCAATGAACAAAGATCCAAAATATTATCCACTTGAAGAAGAAAATCCGTTTATGAGGAATAAACTGATTCTTCAACAATAACCAAAACTGATTTCTCCAACCAAACATAAAATACTCCACCTATCCCAATAAATCCAACCACTACTCTGCAAAATTACCCTAAATTCCCAAAAAATCATAATGATTTTTAAATTCACCAAACTGGACTGTAACACACCCCAAAACAGAATCAAACACAAATACTTTTAAAGAAGGCCCCTTATTAGATTGTATACATATTATGCTGAAAGCATGCTCAATAAAATCAGAATCTACATACATTTTTCCACTGGGGTCCGTCCCTAACAATTGAATACAATGGCATCGTAGG